AGACAACCCCGTAACAATATGCGTTTTGTACTGCTGTTACACAGCACAAAACGCATAAAAAGTGACAATAATTCCAAAAGTCACGCTAGAATTATCGAAAATTTTTGGAAAATTAACAGAGTTTTGAAATTTTTCTGAAACAACGGACGCTAGCAGAGTGATGCAGCGACAAAGTCTTGAGGAAGTGAATTAGTCCTAATCCAGAATAATCCTCTTTCTCTTCAGGGTTCATGCCCAGACCCTAAAAAAGTTTCAAATTTTAACCGAATATTTTTCTTTTCAAGTGGGAAAAATTCAGAGACACCTCAAAAAAGCTATAGAACTGAGTAGTAATACCACGAATTTCAAAGTTTTAATAAAGAATATATTTCTTAAACCAGGATCCCGAAGTTGTAAAGACCTGAGGAGTTTCCAAAATTTTAAATAAACCAATCTACCATCAGTTTGTCTCTTAATAATGGTAATTTGGGAGCATTTGCCTAAAAAGGAGCAAACACTAAACACATTTTTCCCTTTTAAACATATCAATTTTTTAATCTTTCTTGCCATTAGGAAAATGAGGTCATTTGGGAAGCATTCTCATTATCCCAACAGAAAAAGCATGCCCAATTTTGCCAAAAAAGTGATATACCCGCAGTTCCGGAAAGGACGTCATCTAAAAAGAAGTGGCGTCAAATAAAACAGTGAAGACGACCAGCTTTTGACCTTACTGAGGTTAATTGTTCAATTCTCTCGTGCTTCGATTCATAACATTTTTACGCTTCTTCTTGGTCGAAATTGATATAGGCCCATGTCAGAAAGTCAACAATGCCCTCCGTTTGCTTCTAATCAACTCCCAGAAGAAGAAGGCCAACAGAGCCTTGCAGACGGTTGGCCAAATGCCTTTGCTTCTTAAACAAATGCCTTTGCTTCTCAAGCAAAGCAAAAACATCTGGAGTAGCGAAAGGCTGAATTTAAACTTCTTGATTTATAAGAATTTAGAAAACGCGGTGTTGCAATTTCGCTGTTTTTTATGTATGAAAATAATAAGTCGTAACAAGGATCGCCCTCATTTAACGAGCAGAATCAGAACATAATAATGGTCGATCTTTTTTTGAAACATCTAAAAATTAGTCCAAAAAAAAAAAAAAAAATTACCTCTCCATCTGGAAATGTAGCTACGTAAAGAGTATGATGATTTTCGTAAACGCCGGCGTCCTTCAGAAGTAAAACGAAGTCTTTCGCTGATATCCAAAAGCTACAAACAGATAAAAAATAACATTCTGGAGGAAGTGCTAGCAACAAAGGAAGGCTTTTCGATTACAAGCATTCAGAAAGTTCAAGTTGGGTCGCAGCCTTCGTAATCTGGGGAAGTCAAATGATGCAAATTCGATCACAGCAGGCACGCTGCACTGATGAATCGTGATCTAAGTGCTACATACAACGAAGATTATTACGATTATTATGCATACAACGAAAATTATCATGCAAAAGCTTGATAAAATGCTACGGAGAATCAGCCTTATTCATTTCTCTTATCGAATTTCTACAAAATTTTTACTCTCTCATTTTTCTATGCTCTGAATTTCCTGATTCAAAAAAAAAACCCGAACTTGAAAAGGCAAGAATATTGAATTTGCTTTCTATTAATTTTTCAGTTCTAGAGATTTCAATTTTGTTATAACAGCCAAAATCCATCTATTCATGCAAAAACAGAAATATATTTAAGCTCAAACGATAGCTATAGCGGCTTAAATCTGTGTTTTAGGGGTAGCTAAGGCGACGGATTTCTTAGATTATTTTTAAGCACAGGCATCACTGTGAACAGCGGCGGCAGCTTAACAGCCCAAAGGTTGTGAGAAGAGTGCAGAATTCTTGCCTGTTTGTCGTTTACTGCTATTAAAGCACAAAATGTTTGAAAGTATTCCAAAAGAGCGACAATTTCGGTGGATGTTAGATTGACGTATGTTAGCCAATCATACAATGCCGGATATCGGGTACCACGATAACGCTCATTGAAATAGCATACTCGCGAGACATAACGAATCAATTTCGCCTGCAACAGACAGGCGGACTCTAGCAGTCTTTTGAGCTTGGAAATATTCCAAAATAAC